CGGTCGGCAGCCAGACCTTCTCTAACTCCTGTAGACTCTCTCTCTCTCTCTCTCTCTCTCTCTCTCTCTCTCTCTCTCTCTCTCTCCCTGAGCCGTCGCCTGCCCGGCGCGCCGCCCCCATCGGCCGACGTCGCCCTGGACTGCGACCACCGCGAGGTCGGGAACGGCGACGCGTTGCTCTCGCGCGCCACGCGCCACGAGGACCTCCTGCTCATGCGGGCGCCACGGATCGAGTTTTTCCTGGCAGGGCCACCGGGCGGCTTGCGGAAACATCTGGAGCAGCTCGCGGCGCGCGCGAAGCGGTGCTGGAAGGAAGCGACGGCCCTCGACATATAGCTGTGCTTCACAGAATTCACCCGCGAGGCTTGACCAGGGGGGTGGCCCGCCCGAGCCTCGCTCTCTTTTGATGGTCTGACTGTTTGGCCCCGCGCCGCGGACGACCCGCGCGCGTTGCTAGGGCCCTTTCGGGGCGACTGGCGCGCGTCGCGGGAACTCCACGCTGCGCTCTGCCCAGCGCCTCGCTCTCCCGTCGTCGCCCTGCCCAGCAGCTGGAATATTGCCCGTAATCTGCCAGCAAACTACATGTGTTTGGTCCGCACCGGACGACCCGCGCACGTCGCTGGGACCCCTTCGGGGCGACTGGCGCGCGTCGCGGGGTCTCCGCTTTGCGCTGCGCCTGCAGCCTTGGGCTTTGGAGCGCGCGGGCACGGAAGGGGAAAAAAAAGGGAAGGGCCATTTTTGGGCGGTCTAGCTTTTATCGCTGCCCCCATCGAACAAATCGCGGACGGATGGGGCCGCGCCGAAGGCCCTATAGGTAGCTCCACCGAAAGCGCCAGTGGCAACGCCCGCGTGCCGCCGCCATTCCAGTTTGGCACACCCCTCGCACGGTTCGTGCCCTCATAAGGAGCTCCACCGAAGACGATATTTACATATGCGGCGCTCGCAACTGCATGCGGTTGGGTCCTTCGCCAGGCTAATTGTTTCCCAGCCCTCCTGTGGTGTTGGCTCCTCGTCTTGAAGAGACAGCGCCCCGCGTTCCCCTTCCTCCTTCCTTCCTGTCTCCTCCCCCTCCTCCCTCCTGCCTGCGTTTCCCTCGCCCGTTACACAGTTTCGTGGCCCCACGAGGAGCTTCACCGAGGATCCCAGTGGCGGAACTCGCATGCGGTTCCTGCGCTCAGTGCAGCGTTTCGTGGCCCCATATGGAGCTCCACCGAAGGCCCCAGTGGCGGAACTCGCATGCGGTTCCTGCGCCCAGTGCGGTGTTTCGTGGCCCCATAGCGAGCTCCACCGAAGGTCCCAGTGGCGGAACTCGCATGCGGTTCCTGCGCCCAGTACGGCGATTCGTGGCTCCATAGGGAGCTCCACCAAAAGTGCCAATGGCGGAACTCGCATGCTGTTCTTGCGCCACGTACCGTGTTTCATGGCCCCATGGGGAGCTTCACCGAAGGTCCCAGTGGCCGAACTCGCATGCGGTTCCTGCGCCCAGTGCGGCGTACCGTGGCCACATAAGGAGCTACACCGAAGGTCCAAGTGTCGGAACTCGCATGCGGCTTCCGCGCCCAATGCAGCGTTTCGTGGCCCCACAGGGAGCTCCGCCGAAGGGCCCAGTGGCGGAACCCGCATGCGGTTCAGGTGCCCAGTGCGGTGATTCGTGGCCGGGAGCGCGCCTTTCACGCGTTTCGTGGCCCCGTGGCCTGGGCGCGTGCGGTCGGCAGCCAAGCCTTCTCTAAGTCCTGTAGACTCTCGCCATGTGCCGTCGGCTGTCCGGCGCGCCGCCCCCTCGGCGGACGTCGCCCCAGCGTGATCCTGGACTGGCGGCCGCCGCGAAGTCGGGGGCGGCAAGAAGGGGGGCGACGACTGGTGGCTGGAGCTCTACGCGCCGCGCTCGCGCGCCACGCGCCACGAGGACCTCCTGCCCACGCGGGCGCCGTAGATCGAGTTTTGCCTGGCAGGGCCGCCAGAGGGCTGGAACAGCTCGCGGCGCGCGCGAAGCGGCGCTGGAGGAAGGCGACGGCCCTCGCCAGGTAGCTGGGCTTCGCCGAGTTTACCCGCGAGGCCTGACCAAGAGAGCGAGCGGCCCACCCGGGCCTCGCCTTCTCTCGACGGTCTGACCGCTTAGCCCCGCGCCGCGGACGACCCGCGCGCGTCGCTGAGGCCCCTCGGAGCGACCAGCGCGCGTCGCGGGAACTCCACGCTGCGCTCCGCCCAGTGCCTCGCTCGCCCGTCGTCGCCCTGCCCAGCAGCTGGAGCCTTGCCCGCAGTCGGCCAGCAAGCTAGCTCTCTTTGCTCCGCACAGCGGACGACCCGCGCACGTCGCTGGGGCCCCTTCGGGGCGACTGGCGCGCGTCGCGGGGTCTCCGCTTTGCGCTGCGCCCGCAGCCTTGGCTGTGGACTGCGCGGGCACAGAGGTAAAACAATAAAGGTAAGGATTATCTTGGACGGTCTAGCTTTTCTCGCTACCCCCATCGAACAGATCGCGGACAGAGGGGGCCGCGCCGAAGGCCCTATAGGTAGCTCCACCGAAGGCGCCAGTGGCAGCGCCCGCGTGCCGCCGCCAATCCACATTGACACGCCCCTCACACGGTTCGTGCCCTGATAAGGAGCTCCACCGAAGACGATATTCACATGTGCGGTGCCGGGCTACTTCCCCGATCGGAGCTTGCCTCTGTAAGGGTCCTAGCGGATTCGTATGATTAGGTTAGCTGTGGCGCCGATTTCGGCGGCACGCCTTGGTGCCTGGGTGCTCGGTGTTCGGGTGCCTGGGTGCCCGGTGTCCGGGTTCCCGGGTGCCCATGTGCCTGGGTGCCGGGGTGCCGGGGTGCCCGGTAGCCCTATAGCCCTATAGCCTAATAGCCCAACAGCCCTATAGCCTATAGCCTTATGGCCTTATACCCTTAGAGCCCCATAGCCCTATAGCACTACAGCCCTATAGCCTTATAGCTGTATAACACTATAGCCCTATGGCCCCATAGCTCTGTATGCCTATAGCCCTATAGCCCTCTAGCTCCAGAGCCTTATAGTCTTACTATGGCCCCATAACCCTATAGCCCTAAACAATTATGATCGAGTTTTTCATGGGTTTCAGTTGTTCTTCGTGCTGGCCTTTTCTTTTCTTTATTCCCCAACCAGAGCTTGCCTCTGTAGGGGTCCTAGCGGATTCATATGGTTAGGTGCGGTGCGTTGGGAATTTTGGCGGCACGTGAAAGTGCCCAGGTGCCCGGGTGACAAGAAGCTGCGTCGCGAATTGTCTCGGGTGCCCGGGTGCCTAGGCGCCTGGGTGCCCAGGTACCCGGGTGTCTTATAGCCCTATAGCCCTATAGCCCTATTGCCCTGTAGCCCCATATCCCTGTAGCCCAATAGCCTTATGGCGTTATAGCCCTATAGCTCTATAGCCCTATAGCCCTATAGGCGTATATCCCTATAGCCCTATGGCCCTGTAGCCCTATAACCCTATAGCCCTATAGCCAGATAGCCCCATAGCCCTATAGCACTATAGCCCTGTAGCCCTATAGCCCTACAGCCCTGTAGCCCCATAGCCTTATAGCTCTGTGTGCCTAGCAGCTGCTGCAATGCTCGGGAGGCGGCCAGCCTGCATATAGGATATACAATGTTTTGTGTCAGTGCTCGAAAGGCGAAGGCTGCCCAACAGACGCGGTGGCGGCTCGGGAGGCGCAGGCAGCCTGTAGACCGGCATGCCGAAAATGACAGACACCTCCAGAGATGAGGGTGGGGAAAGAGAAGCGACAGCAAAGGGCGGGAGAGCTTGGGCAGCAACGGTTGCACACATATGTTGACGCAATGCGTGCTCACAACACCGCTGCGCGGCAACTTTGCGGCCGCTCCAGCTCTACATCTCTGCAAAACGATATGATATCTCCCAGCAGCTACTGCAATGCTCGGGAGGCGGCCAGCCTGCATATAGGATATACAATGTTTTGTGTCAATGCTCGAAAGGCGGAGGCCGCCCAACAGACGCGGTGGCGGCTCGGGAGGCGCAGGCAGCCTGTAGACCGGCATGCCGAAAATGACAGACACCTCCAGAGATGAGGGTGGGGAAAGAGAAGCGACAGCAACGGGCGGGGGAGCTCGGGCAGCAACGGTTGCACACATATGTTGACGCAATGCGTGCTCACAACACCGCTGCGCGGCAACCGCGCGGCCGCTCCAGCTCTACATCTTTGCAAAACGATATGATATCTCCCAGCAGCTACTGCAATGCTCGGGAGGCGGCCAGCCTGCATATAGGATATACAATGTTTTGTGTCAATGCTCGAAAGGCGGATGCCGCCCAACAGACGCGGTGGCGGCTCGGGGGGCGCAGGCAGCCTGTAGACCGGCATGCCGAAAATGACAGACACCTCCCGAACCCCGTAGGTCGGACTGGCCGTGAGGCCGAAAGCCCCGCAGGGATCGCAACCAACGCAAATCTAATTCCAAGCAGATGACCCATCCTGACGTCGCGGCGCGCTTCGGCGGAGGCCAGCAACGCAGAGGCAATTAGCGAATCTCGTCGGACACTCGGCGACGATGGATGTCCACTTGCGCCCCCCTGGGGCGGCGTCGGAGAGGACAACGTGATATTTGCTAGACGTAGAGCAGAAGCCGCCACGACCACAGCACTTCTTTGCAAAACCATCAAGGCTGGGGGCGTGCCAGCCCACGGCGCGCGTGGCTTTCCGCCACCGGGCGCCAAACTGGCACAAGTGGCCTACGGCCGACGTGCACGAAACATCAGACATGAGGCGCGCCGGGCGAGGAGCGGCCCACATGATTGAGGGCTGTGGGTTCTCTAGCAAGCAGGGCACGCCTAGAGACTTACAAAGCGAGATGATGCGGCAACTAAAGTTGCGCGTGCCATTGCACAGCTGTAGCCGCGCCTGCTGTGCGGCCGTGAGGACAAGGATGCTCGTGGGGGACTCAGTCGATCGAATGGGGGCACGGTTCGCACGTGACCAGGTAGTGCAGGGAGTGCCGAGGAAGATGCCCGCGATGATGCCGGCCTTCGGCCACCCCGCAATCATGAGCTCGAAGCGCCGGCCGAGATGATTCCCGTCGGCACCGTTGGCCAGGCCCAGCGCGACGCAGCCATGCCCGAGCGCCCTGAGTTCGGCCGACGCGCGGCCGCTGCCGGCGAAGAGCTCCAGGAAGGCCTGGCGCCGCCGCCGCGTGGCGAGGCGTTGTGAGCAGGCCGCGGAGATGGCGCTCTACGCGCGCCGGGGAGGCCACGCACGCTGGCGCAGCTTAGGCGCGGCCGTGGCGGCCAGCCGGGCGGGCCCCCTGCGCGCCGCCGCGGGCCCCAGCAACGTCTGGAGCGGCTCCGCGTTGAAGCTGTGCTCGAGGATCCGCGCGGAGTGCTCCTCCACCACCGTCTCGAGGTGAAGGGCCCAGCGCAGGACCTGTGCCAGCTTGGCCTGGAGGTGCGTCTCCTTGGCGTACCTCTTCATGCTCGGCGGCACCGCCCACTGCCCATGGCGCTGGGTGCCCTCGAGGGGGCGTCGCAGCGTCGGGGTGTCGTGCGACGCGCCCCTGTGCCTCAGGGAGTACGGGGTCGGGCTGAGCGGGCCCTGCTTGAGGAGGTCGGAGCGCCGGCTGAACACCGCCCAGCCCCGCGCCACGGTAAGGGCCCAGAGCGACTGCGTGGCGACGGTTGCCGCCATCAGCGCGGCGAAGGTCGGCAGCACGAACGGGTCCGAGTCGGAATGCATCGACGCGCCCCGCAGGTGCGGCTCGCCCGGCATGAGCCTCCAGGCCCCCACCAAGCCCGGCGTGAAGTGCGCCGGCGCAGCTGAGAACGGGTCGCCCATGCTGGGGGCCCCGGCGTTGAGGAGCATGTGGTTCCAGTATGCCGTGGTCGCCCCGTCGGGCTCCGCCATCGAGCACCAGCCCAGGCGGAAGGCCGAGCAGAAGGCCAGGAAGCCGCTGAGGAGCGTGAGGTACCCCGCCTGCGTCGCCGGGCGGACGGCCGCCAGCTCCAGGAGGCTCAGCGTGCCGCAGGGTGCGGAGCTCTCGACCAGCGCCGTAGCCAGCGACGTAGCGCCGCCGCTCGCTGAGGCGCCCGATCCGAGCCACCTCAGAGCGCGGCGCCCAGCGGCGGCACGCGCCCAGCCCGGACTCGCTGGCGTCCGAGCACGTGGCGCGGCTGATCCAGGGGGCCGACAGGTCGCGCGCCAGCAGCGGCAGGAGACACCGTACCTGCCACAGCCCCCGCTGGACCACGGGCCAGAGCTCCTGGATGTCAGCGTCGTTCACCTCGACGAAGGCGTAGGCCGAGTTGAGGAGGGCCAGGGCTTCTCGCCGAAAGAGAGACGTCCACGTGATGTGCCCCAGGAGGATCCGAAGGGGGTGGCCCGACACTTCTTGCGGCGCAGGACTTCCTCGATGGCATACCGCAAGCGCCAAACGTTCCGCCCCTTGACGGAGAGCCGCCGCCCGGCGCGCAGCTCCAAGCCGAGGTAGGTGCAGTCGCCGGGCGCGCGCTCGGCGTCGTGGACGTGCATCCCGACGCGCTGGAGCGGCTCAAAGACCTGGTCGACCACAGCGTCGAAGCGGGCGGCGTTCGCACCAACGGCCAGGCAGTTGTCCACGTACCCCGCGCACCCGACGTCCGTCGGCTGAGAGAGCGACACCGCCGGCCGCCCGTCCTCTATGGTCAAGGAGCCGGGCACCCCGGCACGGTCGATCGTGGCCCTCAGCACGCGCTGGCACAAGTGCATGGACCACGAGGAGCCCATCGGCATGACGGTGATGCAGCCCTGCACCGCCCCATCAGGAAGGTCGGGGACGCCGTCGGCTCGAAGGAAGGAGCTGTCGATCGGCGGGGGCCGGAAGTAGTGCTCCAGGCCAGAGGGCATCCGCATCTGATCAAAGGCGCTGGTGGTGTCGCCGGCGGCAACCAAGCGCCGGCCTCCCTCCCCCTCGAGATCTGAAAACGCCGAGGCGGTGGGGGGCCGCGCGGGCGGGGCGTCTGTGAAGTAGCAGTTCGCCGTCCGAATGTCGAATATAAGCCGAAGTGATCCGTCCTTCTTGGCCGCGCAAAAAGCACCCAAACACTTCGCGGAGGGGTCGTGGGCCACGAACGTCAGCATATCGTGCCGCCAGAGCTGCGGCAAAAAGTCGGAGTAGGGAAAAGGCGAGCCAGCCAAAATCGGGTCCAAGTGCGGTCCACGAGGGCAGGCCTCCCGAAGAAGTGATTCAGCATCTGCAGCGGGTCGTAGCATGTTCAAGCGCCAGTCCTCAAGCCACGAAGTGTCCGACGTGTTAAGCAGGCCCTGCAGAGGCACGGCATGCTCTCCAGCGCTCGGCCAAGAGACAGAGTCCCTCGCATAAGGACGAGTGGGGCCGCCAGATTCGTACAGCGGCGATCCTGCGAGGAGCTCACCAAGAGCCCCCTCGCGCAGCCGGTGCTCCTCGGACGGCTGGGGCAGTCGTCGGCAGCACCCGGCCACGTGCTCCAAGGCGCTCCGCCGGGCCGATGTGCATGGGCCCGTCGGCGAGACGCCAGGGGGAGAAATCGAATTCATGACGGCGATGGCGTCGTTGGCCCAAGCGACGCCGTGAGCATGCCCCTGGCGCCTTCGAAGGGCTCTCCGAGACCGGCCGTGTCCAGGTCCCGCGGGTGCAACAGGAAGAGCTGGCAGAGGGAACAGGTCACGCTGGCGACCACCCGACGGCGAGCTGCCACAAAACTGCGTGGACGGAGGGCTGGGAGCACCAGGGTCCACTGGCGGGCGAGACGGCGCGGCCGCTGGCTGCCCTGGTCCAGCGGCCGACAGGGGGTCACCCGTCATCATCATGATGGCCCTTCTTGTTGCCCTTCTTCCCCTTGGTCGCAAGCGCGCGCTCCTCGCGCGTCTTCCTGCGCTCCTTAGCCATCGCCCACTCCTTCGTGAGCTCCTCCTTCAGGTGCTCCGCCAACTGCGGCGAGACGCAAATGTTCCCGCGGGCCAGGTCACAGCCCACGGTCAGGTGCGTGTCCAGGTTGTCGTCCTTCGTCTCTGGCGCCAGCCGCTCGCGGTACCGCTCCTAGTGGAGCTGCGCGATGCGGGCAAGCAGCTCGCCCGACGCCAAGTCCACCACGTTCAGCTGGTCGTAGATCGTCATGAACTCGATCAGCCTGCACGCGCGCTCGTGCTCGGCGACGCCGTGCTCCGAGGCGTGCAGCCGGGCCTCGGTGCGCCATCGGGCATGGCGCCCTAGCGGTGTCCCGCCGTTGGTCTCCATGAAGCGGAGGACCCACCAGCACGTCCGCGGGCCCTTCGCGGGCCAGTCTGGCCACGGGTGCTCCACCATGGCCAGCGCCGCCTCCCGAAAAGCCCGATGTCGCTGCCCCAGCGCGTCGTAGCTCACCGCGAGGACGCGTACGTCGGCAGCGGCGGCTGGCGCGGCCGGCGCGACGGCGGCGCCGCCCCCGGCCCCCGGCGCCGCAGCGGGGGCGGCCGAAGGGGGGGCTCCCGCAGCCCCCAAGCCCGCGGCTGCCGCTGCCGCCAGCAACGGCGGCACGGGTGGGGCGGCGCCTGCCGCCGGGGGGCCGCCGAGCGCGGCAGCGAGACCGGCGAGCCCGCCGACGCCAGCCCCTGGCGCCGCGGGGGCGGCGACCGCCATCGGCGCCGCGGGCGCCGGCGCCGCCGCAACCACCGCTGGGGCCACTGGAGGCGCCACCAGCACGCCGCCCACGGCAGGCGCAGCGCCCGCGGCCGCTCCGGCGCCAAGCCCGGCACCCAGAGCCACTCCGGGCGCGACGGCTGGCAGAGCCGCAGCGGGGGCCCCTGCGACCGCGCCCGCGGCGGGAGCGCCGGCGCCAGCCGCGCCCGCTCCCGCGCCGAGAGCCCCCACGCCAGCGCGGCCGGCGAGGTTGGGGACCGCGCGCGGCCCTGGCGGGAGCCCGAGGCGGCCCTCGGCCGCCGTGCGCAAGGCGTCGCAGGTGGCGGGAGCCGGCACGGCGCGGAAGCGGTGGATGTGGGACGCTCCTGTCGCTGGGTTGCCGGCTCCCATCGCACCGCCGATGCTCGGCAGCCATGCCGCGATGTCGGCACCAGGGGCCCCTGCCGCGAACAATTGCTCCTCGTAGCAGTCGCCATCGGGGGTCAGGATCGTGAGGTCGGTCCGATGAGGCGACGCGATCAGCACCATGCGCTCGTGCCAGACCTCTGGCCCAGGGATGTCGTAGCGCTCCAGGATGAAGTCGCCCGGCGAGATCCCCAGGCTGGCAAGGTACTCGGCGACGCGCGCCGCCATCACTGCTGGAAGCCGAGTCGGCGAGAGCGGGTCTCACGCGCCTGCTTGGTACCGATGTCCTCCAGGGACGCGATCGGGGTCACGAACACGCCCGGGGCGGGCGGTGGGTCCACGGCCAGCTGCGCGCCCGCGCCGCTGTGGCGCAGCGTCAGCACGACGCAGCAGGCGCCGGCCGCGGCTGACACCACCGCCAGAGCGAGGGTGCCCGGCAGCGTGAGCCCGGTCACCGTGCTCTCCGAGCTGTGGCCGCCCGGGCAGGTGATGCGCGGCTCGCACGAGCACGCGTAGGGGGGGCACTTCACGCCCGCCGAGGATGAGTACGCTATGACACCAGCGCCTGCGGCATGGCCGGCCCCCCGCAGCAGCTCCCACACCGCTGTGTGGAGCACCTCCATGCGCGAGCCCGCGGGGCCCAGAGCTTGAGCAGCAACGGTTGCACACAGATGTTGACGCAATACGTGCTCACAGCACCGCTTCGCGGCAACCGTGCGGCCGCTCCAGCTCTACATCTCTGCAAAACGATATGAAATCTCCCATCTCTGCAAAACGATATGAAATCTCCCATTACTACTCCTCCTCCCCATCCTCCTCCTGCTCCTCCTCCTCCTTTTCCTCCGCCTCCTCCCCCTCTTCCTCCTCCTCCTCCTCCTCCCCCTCCTGTTCTTCCTCCTCCTCCTCCTCCTCCTCTTTGTCCTCCTCCTCCTCCTCCTCCTCCTCCTCCTCCTCCTCCGTTTCCTCCTCCTCCTCCTCCACCTCCTCCCTCTTCTTCCTCCTCCTCAATCCTCTCCCGTCCTCCCCCCTCCTCCTGCTCCTGGCTCCTCCTCTCCTCCTCCTCCTCCTCCTCCTCCTCCTCCTCCTCCTCCTCTTCCTCCTCCTCATCCTCCTCCTGTTCTTCCTCCTCCTCGTATTCGTATTATGTTTATTATTAGTGCTAATGTTTCTGACATTTTAATAAGGATGCGCATTATCATTGCTAGTATTGTCTTATTAGTAGCATTATCACTATTATTACTATGATGGTTATCCGTATTAGTAATCGTAGTATTATTATCATTAGTGTTGATAGTATTGTTATTGTGATTCGCGTTACTACTGAGAGTACTACGATTATTATTAGTATTATTATTATTATTAGTATTATTGTTATTATTAATATGAGTATAAGTAGCCTTGTTCTCCTTGGTATTATTATCGTTATTATTATTCCCCGTGTTATCAGTGTTATTCTTATTTGTACTATTATATCACATGTTACTAGTAGTTTTCTTATTCATAGTGTGCATCTCATTGTTCTTCTTTTACGTACACTAAAATTATTATTCAGAATATTAGTAGCATCCTTATTCTTAGTTGCATTACAATCGAAACTATTATCATTAGTAAAAATATTATTATGAGTATCATTGCAATCGAAACTATTGTTTTTGGTAGTACTACTTTGTTTAGTGCTATTGATCATGTCGGTATTGCGATTAGTAGCATCAACACCTTTATCACCATCATGATTATTAGTATTCATGTTATTCTTGTTATGTTTAGTATTACTCTCATGTGTAATATTCGTATTATTATTCTTCGTATTACGAATATGTTTATACTTCCTCCCCGTCCTCCTCCTCCTCCTTCTCCTCCTCCTCCTCCTCTTCCTCTTCCTCCTTTTCCTCCTCCTCCTCCTCCTGCTCCTCCTCCTCCTCTTCCTCCTCCTCCTCCTCCTCCCCATCCTCCTCCTCCTCCTCCTCCTCCTCCTCCTCCTCCTCCTCCTCCTCCTCCTGTCCTCCTCCTTTCTGCCGCCTCCTCCCCTTCTTCTATCCTCCTCCCTCTATCCCGTCCTCCCCCTCCTACGCCAACGACGACGAGAAAGATGCTGACGACGACGACGACGACGAGAACGACGACAGCGGCGGAGCGACGACGACGACAACGACGACGAGCGACGAGGGACGAAGAGCGAAGACGAACTACGACGAACGACAACAACGCCGACGACAAGAGACGACTAACGACGTCAATGGCGATCGGCGAGCGGCGACGACGGCGGCGGCGGTCACGACGATGACGAACCCCGAAGAGCGACGACGGCGAGGGTCGACGACGTGCGACGACGCGCAACCCGGGGAGCCTCGAGGCCGCGTCGGTGGCCGCCTCCAAATCGCTGCTGCTCCGCAGCCTGGCGCGCTTGATGTCCCGCGTCCCAGCCTGGAAGCGCCGGTCTTCGTCGTTGCCGTTGTCGTCATCGCTCGTCGCCGCGGCCCTCGCCGCGGTGTGCGTGCCCTTCGGGCGGCCTTCGGCGGCTCTTCGGCACGCCCTCGGTGGCCATCGGCGGCTTTCGGCGGCCCTCGGCTGCCCTTCGGCTGCTCTTCGGCGGCCCCTCGGCGGACCCTCGGCTGGGCCTTGGCGGGCCGTCGACCGATCAGGCGGGCCCTCGGCGGCCTTCGGCTGCTGTCGTGGTCGTCGTCTCTGTCGCCATCGCCATCGACGTCGCCGTCGTCATGTTCGTTGTGGAAGATCCGTCCGACGAGAGGCCGAAGATCGAGGACCTACAGTCGTAGCTCGAAGACCGAGGCTGCTTTCGTGCCGCGCTCGCTCGTTGCGGACGTCGACGTCGACGTCGACGTCGCCGATCGATCGAGGGCCGAAGATCGAGGATCGACGATCGAGAACCGAAGACCAAGGATCGACAATCTCGACAATCTCGGCAATCGAGATTGTCGAGAATCGACAATCGACAATCGAGGATCGACAATCGAGGATCGACAATCGACAATCGAGGATCGAGGCTGTGTCTACAGTATGGGCACGGTTGTTGCCTCCACTGGGCGCCAGCGGAGGCCACGGCTGGATCCGCGCTCCAGGGAAAGCCCAGAGGGGGGCGTCGACGTCGTCAGCGCTCGTCGCTCGTCGTTGTCGACGTCATCGCTCGCCGTCGCCTCTCGTCGCCCTCCTCCTGGAGAGGGGGGGCTGGAGGAGGGGGGTCGAGAGGGGAGAAGGTGAAGGGCCGACGGCATCGCTCGCCGTCGTCCCTCGTCGTCGTCCCCGTGGAGGGTAGAGGTGGAGGAGCGGGGGCAGGGGGGAGGGTAATGAAAAGGGGAATGGTGAGTTCACGATGCGACAGTTCTTTCAGATACTAGACCTCTGGCTCGTCGCTCCGACAGCGATCAAAATTTCGGCCAGAGTCCATCAACGATTATCTGCAAATGTTTGCGAATTGTCTTGTTCAAACATTGGCTGTACCCACATGCCTTTTCCGAGGCCACGGGCATGCGCGGAGGAGACAGGAACCGCATGCTCCGCAAAGCCAGAATTCGCGGCGTTTGTGGCACGCTATAAAACGCGAGGTGTGCAGCCCCCCGCACAGTGGACCCCGGACCCCACAGCATACCTAAGTAGAGTACCGTTCGAGGGCCCGAGCTTGCAACAAGGAGACGCAAGCAAGTCAGTCGCGAACTGGGCCGCCGAGGACCGTTTACGAGCAGAGCAAAGCCATCTTCGTTCAAGGCACGCTGCGTACACAAGCGAGCCACTGCGGCAGGGGCGAGCGGGATAATGCGAGGACCTTTTCCCACACCGCGCCTGGGACGAAGGTCCACAATCATGCAACCCATTGTCGCTCGAAGAAAACGTAGCCTGACCGTTCCGCACGCTATTCATCAGAAAAGATCCGAAAACAAATAGCTTCACCGGCACGATACTGCTTAGCAACCTCCCCTGCCAAGAGGCCCGCACGCGCGTCGCCCTCGAACGCCCATGCTGTCCTTTTGGAGGAGACTCACTGTCAGTCAAGTGCGAACGCACGAACATGGCACGCACCTTGCCTAGGCCGCGCTCCCCCTGCTTGAAGCGCCTGGTGGAACCCCACAAATACCTCCGAGGCAGCACCCCTAGGTCGCGTAGATCTACTTAGGGGAAACCAATATGGACCGTTTCATTGATGGTGACATTCACCAACGGCCCCGGTGATCCGCCTCAAAACAAATCCAAATACCTCTCCTAGATACACTGTCTGTCGACGGCCATGGAGCGGGCCCCATCCTCCACAGCCGAACTGCGCTGGGGAGCGCCGCCGCAGATGAGGATGGACTCGCACGATGAACCCGTTTCCAAGATGGCGCACCCGTCGCCCTCCTCGCCCACAATGAGATCTGAACCGAAGAACCACGTAGCCCCCTTCCACTGGCGGCACCGCTGTTCATGACGAAGCGAGCAGTCCTCGGCGCCAGAAACACTCGCGCTGCTAACGCTGCGCGAGCGCCCCCGCCGCGCACGCGTCGGAGTCGCTGCGTGCCCTGCTGTCTGCGTTCTGCGGGCAGGTCCAGCCGCGGCGAAGGGGCGCCTCGTTAAACGCTTCACCTTTTGGCCAGACATCGAGCACTCAGCCGACGACCGAGATCACCCACCTCGAACCTGGCCCTCGGCCTCGCGCGTCCGACCGCAATGACCTCCATCGCGTCTGCCCAGGGCGCGCACCGCTGGGGGGCCCCCTGGGCGCTCGAGCAAAGAGCGGCAAGACGCGTCGCCAATACCACTTCGCACGCCCTCCCCCCCCTGCAAAATGCCGAGCTGCTGTCCGCCATGACTGCGCGGGAAAGGAACCCGTCAAATCTGCTAAGATGTCAATCAAGCCCTCGGCGCCGATCATCCGCTCACCAGGGAATCTCCGCTCGGTGGACTTGGCCCGCGGATCGTCGCTCTCGCCGCCGCCCCACTTCCAGCGGGGCGGGCCACGAAGTTGGGCGCCACCCGTAAAGGAATGACAAGGCAATCACTGCACTGATTGGGCCGTGGACGTGCCACGTGCGGTCGGGCACTTGCATAGCGCGCAACTGATCCATCATCCCCAACGAAATCCGAATGGCTGCGGGGCGCACTTCGCTTGCCGACGCCCAGGGGCGCAATCGCTCCACAACTCCATCGCGCACCCCCGCCGCGGCCGCGTCGCCTGGACTCGGCCCGCGGCCCGCAAGTCGAGCGCCGTCGCGATGCGCCGCCCCCTCCGATTCGACCCGCAGGCCGCGCCGAGGTCCCCGCGGAGCCCGCGGGGCACTGCACCGAACACGCCGCGCGCCCGATGGCCGCGGCGCGCCGCCGTCTGGCCCGCAACCCTCTCCAGCCGCCGTGACCTGGCGCTGCCTGCTCGATCTCGCACACACGGAGATCCGTCTTGCCCGCAAACTAGCCTCGACAACACGCTGAGCCGCGGCGGCCCGAGCAAGCACCCCGTCTGCGCCGAAGTCCACTCCGAGGCACGGGGCCCGGGAGACAGGGCGCGAGATGCGCCCTTGCCTACACAAGGCGGCCACGATCTGCCCGGCCCGCCTGGCCTCCGAGGCGAGGACTGCGCTCTTGGATGCCACCGCAAGCTGCTCCTCTGCCAGCAAAAAACAGATGCGCCCGCCAA